ACATAGATAAATAGTAAATAATAAATAATAACTAAAGACACGAAATAATTGATGCTACAAATAATAATTAATTGTGTATCACATTTCCAGATGTAAATATTATTGTACTACATAAGACGTTGTATATGATTACGAAGTAAATTGTTACAATTTTTGTATGTAACCTATCTATATAGTTTGCGGGATCCTGAATTAACACTAATATTGATCCATTAATTAATGATAGCAAACCATCAGTTAGTGATAATAATGTATTATTGAATAATACAGTACAGATTATCTATACTCAAAAGTTAAAATATTTGAAATATTATGTGTTCCACATGTTGGATTTTTAAAAAATCACCATTCAATTCAGCTTTAAAAAGGGAGTCAATTCATATAAAAAAAATTTTGCCTCAATTTTTTTTTCATGCATTTTTTAAATTTGAGAGTTATGTCCAAAAATGCAATAATAGTCTTGTGTTACATTATTTTGAATTGCATAACCAAATTTGTAATGACTTTCCTTTGATGTAATATGTTCATTAAACCTTTTTATTGTAAATAACTTTTTATTATTAAAAAAAAAAGAAAATAAAAATACAAATAAATTAATATATGTTGTATGGTGCAGTATTTTTATATGTGGGCTTTTTAGGACAATTTTCGTGTTTTTTAGTAAATGCCAGGGTTTTTCTATAGATTTCAGACTTTTACTATGTTTCTGAGTAACTTATATAAATCTAATGATTGGTGTATTTTTTTAGACGTATAACACTATAGTGAAATTTTTTATATCTAATTGATTACTATTTAGCTTTCTATTGCTGTGAGCACAACCCTTTAAGGGTGTGTGAAACAGTTGCGGAGCGAAGCGGAGCATAGTTATCTTTTAGTTAGCATTTAGCTTTCTATTAATAAAACAGATAGTAAAAAAATTTAGATATTTTTTCGAGACAAAATTGGTGTATTTTTTTGATATCTATTTTGATTACTATTTAGCTTTCTGACCCGGAGGAGCATAGCGAGTCCGAATGCGAAGCGTAGCGGAGCATAGTTATCTTATTTGATTACTAAAACATTTTCTGTCCTGGAGGAGCATAGCGACTCCAAATGCGAAGCATAGCGGAGCATTAGTTATCTATTTAGTCAACAATTGGTTTCTTAACACTAAGGAGTATACACCTAAGGTGTGAGCGATGCAGTAGCGGAGCATAGTAATCTTTTAGTTATCAATTAGGTTTCTATGGTAAAAAAGATAGTTAAATTTTATTGTCTTGCAGGCCCGAAGGGCGACTCGAAGAGTCATGGGTGGTCTTCAAGCATCTGAAGTTGTCGAGCATAAAATTGCATGACATAATATCCTTTAGAATGTTTTTTGCAACATCCACAATCAGAAGCTGTAGGTTTTCCACAATCATTACATAAAACACGTTTTTTAGATCTCCAATGTTCATAGCACCCTTCAGGACGTCGACACCCACGTCCACAGACTTCTCCAGAATTGTGTATATATTCGCATATATATTTACCCCCTAACTTTTCGATATATTTACCTCCCTCGATATATTTAATAAACATTTCAATAAATGAATAATTATTTTTTATTTAAACAAAAGATCTGGTATATTAATAAAAAACACCGAAAAATATATTACTATGGCTAAGATACTTAAATGTCCAGGTTGTGATCGAGAAATAAGAACTGGTAAAACTCGAGATCTTAATAAACACATGAATTTAAATGGAAACCTTCGTAAAGGACAATGCCAACCAGCTTTGCTTATAATGCAAAATGTAGGAAACGTTACCCCGGAGCAAAATACACCTCAAACTGAAAACATTACTCCAGAGCAAAATCCGCCATCAACTCCTGAAGGTGATCTCATATCATTTAACGAAAACCCACCTACACACCAGCCACCCCAGCCAAGAGAGGCAAGCGCACCGGCAGTCGACCTTTTAACTGATGATGTTCCAAATACAGAAGCAGGATCAAGTTCTAATACTCAAGAAGAACAAAAAAAGAAATCAATTTTAACGATAGATGAATTAATAAAATGGTTATCAAATCCGGAAATAAAAAACAATAAAAAAATTAGATCAAAGCATATACCTAAAAACGATAAAGAATGGTATGATTTAATGGAAATAGATAACGAAAAAGATAGTGAACCAAGTGATTCAGAATATGATACTGCTGAAGAAGAACCAGATATTCATTTCGAAAAAATCAAGGATCCATACATTAATAGAATAGCAGAAGCCAGAAAATTTAATGATGGTGAGGTATGTGATTATTATGCATTTGTACCAAAAGGATACTTTGCCGAGGGCGAGCCATTAGCTTTCTTCGAATCAGTCGAAGAAAAAATTGCTGATGTTTATAAAAGAGAATTGACTTTAAAGGGTGGATTAAAGGTAAGAATTATGTTAATTGCAAAAATGAAGAAAATAGAGCCAGAAACCCAAGAACCTAAATATAAAACTTTTCCGTTCAAGCATGAAACTATAGAAATTATTAGAGAAGATCGAATTAACGCAACTATAGAAAAAGGATATAACGAAATTATAGACCAGATTGAGGATGAAGCAATACAAGAATCTGGATGGGCTTTTGTACGAGCAGAAGAAGTATTTCTTGAAATAAGCGCATTCAGACCATTACGAGGTAGTAGTTGGCTATCTTTACCAGAAGATTTAGATAAGCCA